AACCGTTTGGCTGGGTTTCATAGGAACTTGTGGACAGGGTGAGGTGGTTCAGGTCAGATACGAGTGGAAGAGCACAGTGAGAAGCTTCTACTTCACATAAGCAGTGCTTTTTGCTGCTTGTGCTGCTCCTTGGGGTGAAAACCAAATGCAGCTGTTACCCATTAGGTGGGAAGAGCAAGGGTCTCCTTCATGCTACACAGCTGAGCGAAAGAAGGTGGACATCATTTCACATTGGGCCCCATCTCCATGGCAAGAGAGACTGTAAAGCACTTCCTTATCTCAGGCAGCACCTTTTCTCCTGGATGGTCCCATTGAACTCAGCAGGCAGATGTGGTGTAATTCTGGAACAATGGGCTGAGCTACTGAAAATGTGTCAGCTGATGTATTTATTTATTTTGGGGGCTGAACCTACTCCAATTAAACTCAGGAAACATTCGCATTGTCTTCAGACAGAGCTCTGCCAGGGTCTTCCTCCAAGCTAGTCAGCCAAAGTTCAGCCCTACTAAGAAGAGCTCAGACTCCTCTGTGTAGGTGGGAGTAGATGTCTTTACCAGAGGATGCAATTCAATGAAAGGGCTGAGTGTCTAATATTTGTTTCATTTTTACACAAGTGCACAAAAAAGCTTATACTCTTCCATCTCTCCAATAGCTTGTGTACTGGGGTTGTCCTACATGAGGCAGAGAATATAGATCTGAGTAGTCTCAGATGGGGGTGCGCTGGAAAAGAAAATGTGTCTGCTGTAATTTCCATATATAAAGTTCTTTCAGGGGTCTGTGGTTGTTATCTGTTTGGCCTGAGGAAGCTTGTGTGAAGAATCCCAATTTTCACACTGAAAAGATGAGTTACGTGTATAAGTTCACAATCACTAAAAGTCCCACTGTCCTTTGCAAAGACTTTTTTTGTTGTTGTTGGAATTTGATTGTCTTTCTCGAATGCAAAAGGAAAAAGATAAATGATCTAGCCTCCCTTGGCTGTATCTTCAGCAAAGGCAAATTTACAGAGCTCAGAAAAAGTCAGCCTGAATTCAATCTGTAGAACCTGCTCTCTGTTTATATCAAATTGTCAGCTTCTTTGCCTTCGGTTAGGCTGGAAATGTAAGTGGTTTGTCATTACGCTATCCATATATTACAGTAATGAAACTATATCAAAACCTATCCACAAAACCACAAAAAATCAAATGAAACGACAGCTGAAGTGTTCATTTCAATCTTTCTACCAGGCTACTGTACTTCACAGGGTGTTCTCCAGAGAAAGAAGGAAAGAGGAAGATAAAGTGTAGGAATGCCAAGACGGAAGGTCACTAGGCCTGAGTAAACTAATATGAAAAACCAAAACTTGTAAGGAGGCCTTTTGAGTTTGGCAGCTGAAAAAAAACCCAGAAGAATGCATGCAAATACAGGCTGGAAAGTGGTGCAATTTTTCACTCAGTGTGAGTAATCGTTGGATGCAGTGAAGCCACGTGCAGCGACTTTCCCATCAGAAATGACCAATTACTGAGAATGAACGCATTCTGAACGAATCAAAATGAATAGCTGTTGAAAAAGCTGTAGTGGGTGATATCACAGACCCCTCCTAGCCTGATCTTCTCTACAGCTGAGTGCTTAAAGCCCAGATTGACCAACACACTTGAGTATATGCCTATTTTTTAAGAAATTCAAGGCAACAGAATGATTCAATTACACATAACTACAGACATACTTAATGACTAAAGGCATGACAGAGAAAGAGAAAGAAGTTTTGGTCTACCAATGACTGTTGGTACCTTGGGCAATATGCTGTGTGTATACATGGCCATCAGACTCCTCTGCTGTTTCTACCCTTCCAGAAAATTCAAGGTCCCTGGCAGAACTTTGTTTCCCACTGGAAAATCCCACAGTGGGCTTCTGGAGGGCCAGCCTTCTCTGAAGGTAAGTCTGTGTGCTTCTACACAAGCCAAGGGATCCCCACTGTGCCTAAGAACAAGCCGAATGATTTGGGCAGCTGGGGAGAGGAGACGGCATGAGGGACATTTGTAAAGCTACTGCTGCTAAGTTTCCTTGGTGTAGGACAAAGGGCCTGGGTCACCTTGTGCAGGTCCTGGGATCAATGATAATTTAAACCTGCTACATTTAGTTATGAAAACAAGCCTTGCTTGCCAGCTCAGGGTTTCTGCTCCATGAAAATTGTCTGAATTTTTCACCCAAGCAATAGGACTTTTCTTTCCCTGAAGGGTAGGCTTATCAAGAAGGGAGTAAGGAATTCAGGGAGGCCACAGGTGCCACGCATCACCCTGTGAACACCACCCAGTGCATGGTGCATGTTGTGACCCTCATGATGTCTCAGTGATACTCATCACGTGTATTTTGGCTGCGTTGGCCCTGAAATGCTTATTGCCGAGTTCTCAGGCTTTGTGGACCATAGAAATGCCCAACAAACTTAACTTTTCAGGGTGTTCATGTTGAACTCAATGGTAATTCAAAACTATCTGAGTTAAAAATGGCATAGACTTAACACCGTAACTGAGGTTTCCCACACTGTAGGTAAAACAAAGTAAATATGCTATTGCGGCAAAGCCTATTACCAAGATTTTTTGATTGCGTATACACCTGTACATGTAGTGGAGTTCCTATTTGATGGGAGCATTGACATATTGGTTGGTGGGGAGCTTAAAGCGTTTTTGTGTGACTGCTGCACAAAACACATTTTTAAGTCTTCTTACTGCAACAGGTAATGCCAAATTCAGGAATTTGGCTCCTTTGTCAGAAATGCTGGGACACGTTGCTGTTGATTTGGATTTTATAGCCCCGAATCTTTTCTGTAAGGGGGGTGGTGCCTTTATCCTTTCTTCCTTAAAGGAGCTAAGCACAATATTTTCTCTTCTAATAAAGTACTGTTATTGCTTTGGGTTTTGCCCTCATCTAAAACAGCATAGTGGCGAGAGCGTTCAGTAAATTGAACTGTTTTTTCAAATTTCTCCTCAGACTGAATGAGCTCAAGGCCATATCTAGCTATTACACACAAAAGTTCAGTAAATTGCAGATTAGGCCCTGAGTATATGAACTAGTACGCAGCTGTCCCACGTCAAAACTTTATCCTGCAAGCTCAAAGCACAAACAAACCAATTATTTAACCTAACTCAAGCCAATCTAAACCAATTGAACCCACATAAACAAGCGGATTTTATAACTATTTCTGCAAATAGATGAATATTAGGAGAGGCATTTTGATTTCATTTCGTGTAGGTATTTTTTCCCTATGACTTAAAACATTGTCCAAAATGTTGGGTCAAGATAGGTAAAGATTTTGCAAAAGGGTATGCTTCTCCTAGTGTGGTGGAGACAGATTTGTTCCACATGTTTTCATAACCCTTGTGTATCACCCAGCCATTCACCCTGATCTGGCATTTAACACGAAAATCCTCTAATGGGAAGAAACACGCACAATGGTGGTAGCCACGGGTCTGCCTGAAAGCACACTGGCTTCCAGTAGCTGTGGATTCTGCAGGACAAAGTCCTGTATTTATACACAGAAGTGTTTCTGGATGGACAGTTGAAGCAAACTCTTCTCACACTGCTTTCTGCAGCCATGCCTGAGTCACGACCCGGTGCAAACTCCTGCAAGGGTGAGAGGTTAGTTCAAACTCCATGGCTCATTGGGTTCTTGGCTCGTCCGCCAATTCACATTGGCAGCTATCTGTGGCAGCAGACACCAGGCAATTGTTTATTCCAGTTTATATGTCCTTCTAACCATTCATGGACCTTCACAATAAAACCCCATTGCTAAGGAATACAGGTCCCAGTGAACCACGGAGGGGAAAAAATACCAGAGGGTTGCTGCAACAGGAACACATTGTGCTGCCGACAGTGCTTGGGACAAAGCTGGGAGCAGGCTACTCTGTGATATCAACCGAGTGGTGCTCAGAAAAAAAGGTCATTACAGCAGCAGGGAGAAGACTCAGGGTAAGGATACAGAAAAGCCAGAAGGCAAGGAAGAAATTGGGTGGATGGAAAAGAAATCCAATAAAATGGATCTGCTGAACTGCTGTGCCCAGTCCCCTGCTATTATGAGCAAGCAGCTCATCTAATGTTATGAATTTACTACGGAGGGTTCCTTGTTTTGTTTTGTTGTTTTTAATAACTTCTGATCACATCTCTTTATGTTGGTGATTTCATTTTCCTGCCTAAATTTATTCATGACTAGTGTCCTCTTATGTCAATACGGCCTTTAGATAAACAGCTCTTCTCCCTCCTTGATGTTTGCTCCAGATAACAACACTGAGTTTGAAAGTGAAAATAACTATCCCATTTCCTTTATTGCCCTCATTTATCATCGCAGTGGGGAAATCCCACAGTTGCAGACAGCTAGCATGGGATACAGATCAAGATGAACAATAGACAATGATGTCTACACATAGATTTCCTGCCTAAATGCCTGCAAAGATCTGGTCACTGCAATCAGTGGAGCCCAGAGAGACATCCAAATGGAGACGCCTTCTTCAAAGCAAGGTGAACATCTCTCCAAACTCCAGCGAGTATATTAATTAGAGCTCAACTGACTATGGCTGCACATTAGACACGTAGCTCGTATAGGTACTTACCTGTAGATACCTGAAGTTAGCTATGTGAATCTGGATCTGACTCCCACCCTCACTGAAGGGAAAGGTTTTATTGAATCCTTAAACACAGGACTGCAAGTCTCCTTTGACTAGGGTATCCAAGAAAACAGCATGGGACTGGGAGATGGATGCAGGACTGACAGGAGCCCCAAAATCTTGCAGTGCCCTAGTTGTAGGTTTCACCTCAGAAGGGCCCAGATTCCTATAAACTTTTCACCCTGCTAATTTATTTTATGCCTTTTCCATACAAATCAAACTCTAGCAAACATGTTTTGTTTCTTTCAAATGAGAAAAAAATTGAAATCTTCCCAAAGTAGTGTCTCATATGCATTTGCAAGGTATTTTTCAGTGCATTAAGAGGGGCAACAGAACACAGTGGAAACTTCAATGTGTACGGCTACTTACTGAACTCACAAAGCAGTGTTCAGATTCTCCACTTTCAAATAGGATGACATCTTTTATGAAGACTGCAATGGCTCTCATTATGAAGGACATGAAGAGGTGCATATGAATATAATTTCGAGTACAGTGTAGTTTTCTGTTGGGAAGAGATGAAATAACATGTCTGAATAACAAGGCTTCTTAAAACCATTATTTATTTATTTACGTATTTCTTCCACCAAGATACAGACTTACAATCAAATATTAGAAACCCTGAGACTGACTATGTTCTGATGTAAATCACTGCAAATCCACTTAAACCTTTTTAAACCCACAAAACATGTGGCAATCCATACATCTGCAGCAGTGTTGCTGCTTTTCCAATTCTCAGAAAAGAAGGTCAAAACACAGAATGACAGAAAATGGGTTCATCACACTGCTCTCCACTGGAATAGAAATGTTTTTGACTGAGCAAACTGTGCTCACGATAAAGGTCTATTTTCTGCAGAATGTTTCTACTGCAGTGATTCTTTCCAAAGTGAAATGTTTCTTCAGGAAGAGAAAGAAATTCTTAGCAGCTGCTGCCAAAATTAACACATATTACGGGCTTTCTGGAGCAATATGAATTAAATTTTCACTTAAAAAAGACTAGTTATTAATGATATTGAGAACAACATCAGGGTTTTTCTGCCCCTTGTCCACTAATATTTTGAAGGTGGATTTTCATCAGGTGGGTCTTTTTTTCAAGCAGAACTTTACATCAGCTAAAGTGAAAGGCCCAATACTGTGGAAATGGGTACTTTGTGCAGTTGTCAGAACCACATCAGATCTCACTCAGCAACATGATCAACTTAACACCTCTTAATGAGTCACTGTGCACTGGCAGAGTTTATGCTCTTAATCTCTGAAGATGGCAAGATAATGTGACTGAGCTGAGTCCTCTGTACCTGCAGGTGAGGGCAAGTCAAATTATGCTGTTTCCCACAAACGAAGAGCGTGAACCCCGACAGATTCACCAGCTTGGTTGGCACCTTGTACCTTGTTGAGATGAGATAATTTGCTTGTGTGTCTGATTTACTCTTCCCTTGTAAGAGGAGTAGAGCACGTGTGCTGAGAAGTGCAAACACCCTGAAGCGTGAAGCCGGTCTTGGTTGTGTGTGAGTTACCCTAGACTGCACACTGCTTCCTACAGCTTTTTTCTTTGGTCTTTCTGGACCAGACTGTCATAAATTGGACAACCATATAATGTGTTCCAGGGAAGCCACTGGAGAGTGGCCTGAGTAGATAGAATCATATCTAGAATGTTCTTTGATCTTATGGAGGTCTGATTTTTTGCTGTAGAGTATATGCTCATCAATCCATAAGGGCCTGGGTCTCACAGAATCACAGAATGTTAGGGGTTGGAAAGGACCTCTGTGGGTCATCTAGTCCAACCCCCTGCAGGGTCACCCAGAGCAGGCTGCACAGGACCTTGTTCAGGTGGGTCTTGAATATCTCCAGAGAAGGAGACTCCACAACCTCCCTGGGCAACCTAGTCCTGCATCATGTCTGCTAACCTTGTGCACACTTCAGAGGTATCAGCATGTCTAAAGTAGCTCTGGGTGTCTATGTCTTGCCATAGAGATCCATGGGCTATAGTAGGAAGTGACTCTGAAATGGACTTTGGGAGGCAGTGGTCTCTGTGGACTATAAAAATATTATGGGATGATGAGCTCAGATACAGAGATCCACCATGTAAGAATCCACATTTATTCAGATGAATCCCACCCTAAATAATTGGACTGGGTTATAACTCTTACACAAAGGTCACAGATCACATACCAAAACCCAGTGATAGCAAAAGATTGAGGAACTTTCCTCCCCTGTCCAACTGAGACTTGACAGAAGTCTTTTGCATCCATCTGTTACACTCACAGTCTATAACTTAACCAGCCACTACGTCCTTTGAGTCATCCCCTTACCTATGCCTGTCTTGCTCATGGTCTTACCTGAAGAGACATAAAATGATCATAGCAGCCGTGAGAGCAATGAGCGATAAGGTGTGTCCAATGGTGTAGCCGGTCTTGACTGTGCCATAGAATGCCGTTTGCTAACGTGAAGGAAAGAAATAAAACAGGACTTTCAAAGAGTTGACAACATGCATTGCTAAATACACCATCACTGAGATTTTACTGACTTTCTTGGTGAGACAAGGAAACCATCCTAGTCCATTCTCTGGAAAAGTGTCCAACTCCTTCACCCTTTAAAATCACATCTAGTAGAGTACATGACTCAAATACCACCAGTGTGAGTAAGAAGAACATGTCCGGTTGCAGTAGAGTTTGGATCACTCCAAAACCATGTTACAGCTACACAAGGGAAACGCTCATGCAGGAAGGAGTCCGATTTGACACTTGCAGAGACAGCTACACAGCTACAATCTTGTGGAACAAGAATGACTAACATTCAGTTAAACAGCACACTGATACATCAGCTCTGAGGTGGTGAGCATGATGAGCTTCATCTTATTAAGGAAGTTTGAGGACAGAACTGGTCTGGAAATTGATTTGCTTTCGTGGAAGTTAGACATTGTATTTCAGCAAATGAAAACTTCACGTGCTCTCATTGAAATCATAGATATATGAATTCAGAAATATATGTTAATTTGGAAATTTGTTCATGACTTTTCTCTTTGACAACACACAGAGGGAACCTCTTGAGCATGGAGCATCACAGGACTTAAATCCAACAGGGAATCTTGGTCTAAATAAAATGGGAAGGTAACAAAACTCCAGCTCTCCTAAGGCTCTGCAGCAAAACTCTAAACCAATATATTTTAATTTTCAGTTTAAAAAAAGGAAAAACAATCATTTGGTGTTTGGACTTTTATTTTGTCAATGAAGAACCCAAGTTTCTATGAGAATCTAACTCAGTTTGTGGAAAATCTTATTTTTCCAGCCCTTGATTGACCCTCCTCTGCCCTCCTTGACAACATTTTCTATAAAAATACTAAAAAAACAAAACCGGAAAGAGCAATTTAGACAGAAAAACTAAACCCAACCTTGTTTGTAAAAAAACACTCTTAAATAACAGTGAGGGTTGACATTTTTATACGGTATTTTCACAGGCCTTGACATGTACTAGCTACTTTACAGAACCAGTGAGGCTGACATGAGTAGTAATCCTCTAGCATTTACACAAGTCAGCTTGGAGGGGTGCTAAGACAGAGCTTTCAGAGTGTGCTAAGGTTGCACTGGGCATATCTGTATTGATTCTTAGACCACAGACCTCAGAGACAGCTAAAAGCACCGTGTCTTTACAACCCCATCCAATGAATGCACGTCACTAAGAGCTTTGGGTCAGTAACTCTGAATACATAATTCACAGCAAGGGTTTCAAGCCAATTTATCTACCTGACTTTGTCCGTATGATGTTAGGAGGCTGCTACAGTGATGGAGTCATCCAGTATGGTATGGTCGTACCTAAGCCTTGCTCATCTGCTCTGGATGGAGGGACTTGCACTGCGGTAAGGAACAGTGGAGGTTCTACTGTTCTACCCAACTGTCTTGCAGATTCCATCCAAAGCTAACTAAATATACTCTTGTTTCCAGCCTTGTTTGAGTTTGGGCTCCCAAAGGCAGCTGAGACTTTTCCAATAAAAACAGTCATCTTTCTTCATGTTGATTTCATCTTTCTCTTCTTATCTAGTTTTCTTCTTGATGGCACCAGAACAGAAGTGTTCCAGGAAAGACCTGGCCAGCAGAAGAAGGGAGCTTGTGGTAGGGGATTGAGTTTGAGAAAAAGGTTATCCCACATTATATTTTGGAGAGCAGAGAAATGAGGGAAAGGAAATTAAGAGATATCACAGGATATATCTGTAGTGGGGTGGTAGATGAAAACTGTAAAGCATAAAAAGGTATGGGGCTTTTACTTCGTAGTTATTCACAGGAGCATGTTATGCACAGAAAGATCTTGGTGTTATTCCACAAGCAGTTCCTTGCCCTTATATTTTATGATGACCTATCCTTCTTGCGTACGGAGAGATGTCTCTGCATTCAGCTTTAATCTATCATGTGGGGTCATCTCTGTTCTGGAAACAGTACAAAACGACTTCTCACTCTTCATTTGCACTTGCTAATGACAATCACTTCCTGTCTTACAGATATCAAAGCAGAGAGTTTTACCCTAAATAACAAAAGGAATTGGAATTTCACTCAGCATTCAGATTGCTAAAATATTCTTATTAGAAAAAAAGGGATTTAGAGAAGTGAAGGAAATGCATGCCAGGATGTCTGGGCTCTAGCTGTACACCTAGACTGATTTACAAAATGAAATCAGATCATTTCATCAATCTCTCTCTGACTTCTAAAAGCCTCTGTTTAATTTCACAGGAGCATGATAAGAACAATTATTAAGGTAGATGCTAAAGCAAGATTAACTGAGAATTATCTTCCTTGGTTTCTGTTCAGTAACCTCTACATTTGTCCCTTGGTAACTGATATTAGAATGTGAAACATTTATTTCTGCAAGAGAAAAAGAACAGAAATACCGAAATCAAGTCTTTCAATCGCCCTCCACCCAAACATGCTTTGGGTTCCTGTCACCTAGCCTAAAGTCATCAGGGCTCCCTCCAGAGTCAATGCACAGAGGTCCCTTTGGAGAGAAATACGGGATGAACTGACCTCTGGAGGTGCCTATTTTCTTCACCATCTTCAGACAGAGCCTGTGGGGACACCTGAGGTGACCACTCTCTGACCAGATGGAGGCACACAAGGGAGAAGATGTGCATCATGTCTGACAATGGGAGAGCAAAACAGACCCCCCAGTTGGTTAATACATGGTTTTTAAAGGTCAGGTTGGAGAAGGAATCATTGCCACTGCAAAGATCCTAAGTGCACTACTTTGGTGCCTGCATCATCTGCTTCTTAGGGACTGCCAGAATTCACAACTAAAATCTTACACACAACCCCTATTTATTTTTCATGTTTTTCTTGTTGTTTCTGACTTGAGGCCAGTAGATGTTAAAAGTGCGTGAAGTGTTTTAAGCACGGAAGGTTATCTGTCTGTTCTGGACCTCATGTGCCATTCAGCCTGCTGTTCTCCTTTTTTTCTATTGTCTTTACTTCTTCCTCCTCAAATTGGCAGCCAATTCAACAACAACAAAAATCTATTCTTCACAGACTGGTACTGCATGTTCACCCCCTCAGCCACCTTTCACACAAATTAGACTTAAACAGCATGACAAAACCATGGAAATCAAGAGAAAATAATTAAGAAAGAATTAAAAGAACACAATACATGTTCTCTTGGTAACGTGGCACTCTGGCAACGCTGCAATCCGTTGGGTTGCCAAAGCATGTCCCAGGAATTCCCAAATCCCTTTCGCAGCTGGAACCTAAACCAGAGCTCTCAATGGAGGACCTTCCCAGAGCAGACCCGTAACAATGGCTTTTGCGACGCGCAACAGGTACCACACAGCTCGATCTGAGAAATGGGACACTTGAGGAAGTGAAGTGGTGACTGACCTCGAAGGAAGGATAAAGCTCTCTTCAGCAGAGCCCTGAAATTCTTTGTGCAACTTTCCCTTTGCTATTTTCTGTACTCTTTTACTATTAACGCTGATTCAGTTCTGTTCAGATTCCATGTTAACTCTTTGAGGGCCTTGGTAATGTGTGACCATACAAAAAGACCTCTCACAGTATATATCTGTTCATTATTGAGATTCCTATGTCCAACACTCACAAACACTGCCATGTGTCATACAGCAGAAAAAAAAGCATGGGTGCAGGTTTAATTTGCAGCGCAGTGCAGTGCAATGAAACATAATTCTTTCGTAGCACAAACTTTTTCTTGTTGACTATCAGACAGCTATAGGTGACAAGTTTAGTTTAGATGTTGAAATTCTGGTTAGGTGAGGTGAATCTCACTTCTAACAACGGTTGTTATCCTCTTTAGACATTTCCCTGCATGCCTCAGCTTGCAGCAAAACAATAGCAAACTCGTTCCTGTGTAACGACAGTACTCTGTAAAGCTAATTACACCTAGGTCAGTGATTATTAATTTACATACAGAGAGTATCCCAGAGAGCTTGCAGATTTCCTTACAAAATTTGGTAACACTGCATGAAAATTTGTGCATTCCCTACAGTTTTCTAGATCTTTAGCTTGTTGAGATTAGCAGAGCAGCACTGATGGCAAGTGAGTTATATCCTTTTATCCCTTTTGATATTTTGATGCTTATGTTGGCCGAGAAATACTGGAATCACCATATCTATTTCAGGATAAATATAAACATGGAGGGCTTGTTTCAAAGTTGAACATGGAAAATAAAGCACCTAAAGTTATGTGTGGGCATCACAGAGACACTGGTACGATCATCTCAGATGCCATTCTCCTGCCAGCCCCCTGGAAAACAGAGGGAGGGTCGGCTCTTTGACTGGACATTTGATCTCTGCTTCCAGGGATCCTCACGAGGAACCTTCCTTCTTAAGGAATCTGAGTGGGAGTGGAAAAAATTGGTCATGGGAAGATCATGTAATTCTGATATCGGTCCCTGGTAAATCTTGATGTCTACTCGCCCAGGTTTACAAACCTCTTCCCCTGGCGTGCTGTTGGAATCATATCCACAAGCTACGGCGTAAGGCGCAGGGTACACATCCGTCCAGCCCTGGCTTGTACAATTCCTGGTCACGTTCCCTAGAAGAAAAGAGAGAAGGGTGATTTATAAAGCAAAATTCAGCTTGCTGTTAAACAAATGTCTGCCTTTCCTTGATTCACATGCCAGAGCACATTTCTTATAACACTTAGTGTAAAATTCTCATACTTCTCTGTTACAAAGAGTTCATATTACACAGAATGCACAAATGGGAGTGACCCATTGGGTGGTAAAGTTCAGACCTCAAAAACAAGTACATTTTTATACTGTGGTGCCCATAAAACATCTCTTCTAATGGTAACACAGTGCTGGTTGTACCTGGACATTTTAATTGTTGGCACTGCACCAGTATTTTTTGAGAGCGTTATTGTCATATTGCCTTTGTTCCTGGAAAATTTTTCATCTAAACAAAACAGTGAAGTATTTACGTCTTTCACTCCACTTGCGAGAAGCCAAGACAGATGGATAACGTGCTCATTTCACATTATGCAGGGAAGGTCAGGGGTCTGGGAACTGAATGCAGTCCTCAAAACCCAGACCTTGCCTACGAGATGAGCCCGGATCAAATGTGATTCCTGGGAAATCTACTGCACACGTTTTTGAGAACCAAACACTTCAAGATTTGGCTATGAGGTGAGAAAAAACAGATACTGACAACCTGTATTGCCTGTTTTAACACGTACATTCAAAGGCAGGAAGATTTCCTGGACTTTTAAGCAAGCTGAGTGCCTGGGCTGAAAAAAAGCCTTAATTATCATAAGGACGTCTCTCTCCTTCAGCCAAAACTCACAAGACTGTGAGATTTTCACATGCCTTTTTGTACTCTGCACTTTGGGGTCCATCTGGGATTATAAGGGGGCTGCCCAGTGTACACCAAGCAAAGCAATTCTCACCTTGTAAGGCATCCCGCTTCCTGTCCCAGCCAGACCTCAAACTCACATTGGCCAGGGGCTGTACAGAGATTAATCAAGCAAAAGAAGAAGAGACCAATACTCTGACCAGGATAGGCCTTACCCTAAAAGCTTGGTAGTCTAAAAGGCTAAGATAGATGTTTTTTAGGCAGAAAGAACAAAAAAGCAATACATACAACAGTACATTCCAAATTCCCCCAGCACTGCATCTGACCACCGGTCCCTACCCTGTCTATCGCCGCGGCGTTCCTCTGCTGTCATTTATAACACAAAGCTGCCTGCCATCCCCAACTGGAAAGCTGATGCAATAAACCAGAATGAGCAAACAGTAGTCAAAACTCCCTTCTTAGATGAAGAATTACAGAAGTGAAACTCAAGAGCTTTGTAAATATTTCCAACAATGGGGTTTCTTGCACATAGGAATAAAAAACTCCTGCAAACAGGAGCAAATCAATTATGCAGCTATGTGTCATGAAAATATTCACACATCACCTCCAGGAGTTTCTGACAATGGAGTCATCTGAACATCTTCCTAACCATAGACACGTCTTGCACTGAAATCAGCAGCAGCCTCTCCCCTGTCTTAATTAACTTCTTGAATCCCTGTGACAGGTAGATTTTGACACTAAGATTTGCCCCTGTAATTTGTCTTTACAACAGATCTAAACTCTACAAAGTGGCCAGTGGGTTTGTTCATTTTAACAGCTGCTCCAAAAGAAGTTGACTTCAGTGCAGTTTGGTGGGTTACTTCTCCCCAGGCTTTTTCTGCAGAGTCATTGTCTGCATTTCTTTTTACCAGGGTTCATATCGGCTTCATAAGAAATCTTGTGCAAACAAATCCAGGACACGACTGTTCAGTACCATTTCTTTTTTTGAGGTGTTATGTAATTTGTGTTATTTCTTCTTCATTACAATGGATCTCATTATCTGAACTTTTCTGCTTCCTATTTCCTGCTCAAAACTCCTCCTCTGTTTGGGGATGCCTTTAGCTTTCATGGTGGTTTGGATTCTTTGCTTCTTATTCTCAGCAAACTAAGAGGTGCTTGTTTCAGCTTAATTTCCTCACATTTCTCCTATTTCTTCTTTTTAAGTGCACTTGCTCACAATTGTTTGATTCTTTTGTAATTCTCATCACTTTCAAGAACACTTTCAAAAGTTTTCTTAATGCTTTAGCAAATGTGGAAACTAAGGTAGAGGGAAGTAAAATGATACAGTATCATTTAAACAAATATAAAAATTTTTCTACAACTCTTTGCTTCTCATGTCACTTTTTGATGCACAAATAATTCACACACACGGTCTGACACAACAAAACTTTCTATTAACACTCATGGTCTGCGTTAGATGCCTGGGACATTCAAAAAGTACAAGGTTAGAAGATCTAGATCTTACCACACTGCAATTATTGGCTCAAGTATCAGAAAAGGCAGAGCATCTGGACTTGGAAATGGTATCTCCAGCCTTTGAAAATTCACAAAGTTTCCAAAACTTTCCCATTTCCTATCCGACCGAAGCTAAATCTTTTCCAACAGTATTCCTGGAGAGTTAATGTGAAAGGAGACCAGGGGTTTACAACTCTGTGACAGATAATTTGCAGTGCACGGTGGAGGAGATTCACTGTGAGAGCTGTAAAGCATCCCACTGCTGGTAGGTTTGTTCTCCAGGCTCTCCTCTGGGTCGTGGAAATGGGAGGTTCAAGTCCCTGGTGTGAAAAAAGTCCTCTCGTTTTTGGTTTCTCTTTCAGAGTGCTGGACCATCTTGTCTAGACTGTGTTTTTGCTAAGCAAGATTGAACAAGGTGATCCTTGAGGTCCCTTCCAAGCTGGTATTCTATAATTCTATGATTCTATGACTCTATGATCTTTTTTTTTGGCGTGTGGGAAGGTATTGTTTAAGAGCCATGAAATAATCTGCCTTTTGTGGGGTTTGTAATTCTTTTTGATCAGAAATGTTACAACGGTCAAACAGGTGCATCTCCTCCTAAAAGTCCCATCCACTTCAATGAGACATGGGCTGAGTTTAAAAAAAAAAAAAAACAACCACAAAAATTCTTTTGAAGAAGTCACAACTAACTCTCATCTATGATAGAAACAACCTCACAGCATGTCTTACCAGAACTCAGCTTCTTGCTTTCACAGCATCACAGAATGGTTGAGGTTGGAAGGGACCTCTGGAGATCATCTGATCCAACCCCCCTGCTCAAGCAGAGCCACTTAGACATGGTTGCTCAGGACCATGTCCAGATGGCTTTTGGATATCCTTGGAAACCTCCTCAATTTCTCCGGGAAATCTGCTCCAGTGCTTTTTCACCCTCACAGCAAAAAAGTATTTCCTTATGTTCAGATGGAGCCTCCTGTGTTTCAGTTAGGCCATGGTTATAAAATGCAAAGGCATTTAGAAAGTGCAAGAGGGTCTCATTACTTCAGAAGTGCATTTGTGAATGGGAGCCTTGTGTGTAACAGAAGAACTCTTCTGGGTGCTGTCAGGAGCACAGAAGAAAATCCCTGGTTCCCATTTCAGGAGTGCACAATCTCTGCAGAATCATCAGGCATGTGGCTCCCTGAGGATGGGATATTGTTTATGAGATGCTGCTACTGATGCCTCGGTGATATACTGCTCTCCAACTCATCCACAGCAACCCTGCGTGCGGCAAAGCGAGGGTAAGGTAACTAGGCTAAAGTGTTTTCATTGTAGAGTAAATTAAGTGAAATCTCTCCACGGCAGCCAAAGGTGTAAATCGTGCATGGTCGGAGCTACTCTGGCTCGGCAGATGCACAATAATTACTAAGGTGCAGTAACTCCATTGTATATCTGCGTCCTGAGCAAAGCACCACAGGGAGGCAGTTAGAGGGATTTCAGAACCCCAGCTCTTTCGCTGCTGTCTTCTCTCTTTGCAGATATTGGGACAAAGGAGTTTAAAGATGAGATTTTAAAGGGAACAAGGTGATGACCTTTTCATAAGACTCGCTCCCAAGTAGGAGGGGATGAATGTACAAAGGGAGCAAAATAACAGTGCAGAAATGAAAGGGAAAAAAAAAAAGTTAGTTCTCTAAAGCTGACAAATAGAAGTTGCAGAGATAATCCTTATACAAGCTAAAGGAACGATAGCTACGACCAGAGAACCAGGATGGGGAACTAATCAGTCAGCTTTCCAAAAGCATGCTGTGGTATAAAAGCCACTGCTTACAGAAGGGAATTACAAATGTAAATATGAAGCTAGACCTTTGGCTCATTTATATCAGTGTTTATGACAGTCAAGGCATAAAACACTATTGAAAAGCAAGGGATGAAGCCGCAGGCCTGAATAACCAGTTTTCAGTAAGTTTTACTGCAACAGTGCCTTAAAGGCTCATGCGTAGCATGATGGGAAATAATTGTTTAATCAAATTGCCACATTTCTTGGTCCAGCCCGAGGCAGGAGTTCTGCCTCTTTGCAGATCTATTGACTACAGAAGTGCAAACTTGATAGTGGCTTCAGGTCAAGCCCCAGAGAGATCAGCAGGGTCTCTCCCAAGGTCAACACCAGCTGCAGCATGCTAAAGTCTACCCAACTACAAAGTTGAGCAGACAGGATGGGTCATCCAAGTCAGTGTAAACTGCTGTATAGATAATATATGTATGTGTAATAAAGCACGGCTCTTCCTCATGTGCTACCGCTGCCTGCATTCCTTGAAAACCTGCTTGGAGAGTGCCACGGCAATTAATTGCCATGTACACAAAGCACGAGGAGAGACTGCACATCCTCTGTACACTTGTGCATCTTCCTAGGATCATGTCTGCTGTAGGACAGGGCTTCGCCATCTGGCCAGCAGCTGCTCCTGGTTTAAGCAAATGCTCTTTAGAGTTCACAAAGCGCTCTCTAATTTCCTCATCTGCATGGTCTGATGGCATGTCTGTTACAAAAATGGATTTGATGGTTGTAAGCAATTAGCCAAATGCTGCTATCTTTCTTCCTGATTAGCTCGTGTGGTTGTACTTAATCTGGTACATGGCTCACACCTATCCTAAGCGGCTTTTTCTTGGTTGCAGGGTGATTCAGAAACTCTCTGCCCTCGGTAGAAAAGGCAGAGGGAAGGAAATTCTTCTCAATGACAACAAGAAGGACTGGCTAAATTCTGAGACAACTTTTGG